GGAGTGAAGGGATGCCGCAGTCTGGCTGGGCGCAAGATCAGGAGCCACTCACAGCTTTGTAGATTCAAACAGCAATTCTTTATTCCCGAACTCACACCGGCCCTCTACAAACACGTTCTGGGGAAATCCAAGTTCTGCCCGCCAAATTCACCTACTCCACCAGGCTTTGAATCCCAAATACTTTCTCAATTCCAAGAACTCAACTGGGAACTCAGGCAGCAGGATACGCCCAATTCCCAGCAGGAATAACCTTCAACCTGGAACAGCCCTAAACCCAGATTGTCCTAAACGGGGAACGCCCTAAACCCAAGGAGCCGGATACTCCCTAAAACCTGCAGGATACACCCTAAACCGGGATCCACCCTGGTCCTTGAGCAGGGTCACCTGTCTCAAACATACATGCAATGTCACTTCAAATGTCCATTTCCACGAGTCCTTCCTCTAAGCAACATGGGGTACACTGGCAAGGAAATTTCGATGCGTCGTTCCTACTTGGCAATGGCCCTCAGCAAAGGGAGGGGGCTGGGGCAGGAAGGACCCCAGGATGAATCCCCGTTAGCACCCTCTGTGCATGTAGAACTGTGGCCGGGGGCGGGGGTCCACATCTTGTGCAGCCAGAAGAATGAGAAATTGTGCTCCGTTCTGGTGTTCTACGGGCATGTAGGGCCAACGAGAACAATAGAGAAAATTAAGAAAAAAAAAAAAAAGAACGAACTTGGCACCCAAAATCGCTCCCCTCAGTGGAAAAATCCAGACACCAAAACTCCCACGCTCGGGCTGGGGGTGTCCCTGGGCGGTAGAGAGCTCGCCCAGCACCCACGAGGCCTTGGGTTTCATCCTCAGCATAAAAAGTAAAACCAGAAAACCACTGTGATTCCATTTATGTGAATGTCTAGAAAATGCCACGTAATCGACAAGGACAGGAAGAGACCCGAGGTTGCCTGGGGTTCAGGGCATGGGGTGGGGTGACAAAGGGGTACTGCTGCCAAGCTTTCAGGCCACCCCGAGGGGCAGAGCACCTGCCTGGCACGTGTGAGGCCCTGGGTTCGATTCTCAGCACCACGTGTAAATAAGTGAACGCCATAAAGGGCCATCAACATCTAAAAGGTCCATTGACAACTAAAGAAAAAAGACTTCATCCTTCATCCCGTAGGTTGTCATTTGTATTTCAATAAAGTTCATTTTAATTCCACAGATATACAAAGACCGTGAGAAACCTCACCCACTTCTGGCTCCAACAGCTGTTCCCCCCAGAGAGCCCATCCGTGTATTTTAGGGTTTTGTTTTGTTTTGTTTTTTGGCTTTTGGAGACAAGATCTCATTCTGTTGCCCAGGCTGGCCTCCAGCTTCCAATCCTTCTGCCTCAGCCTCCCCAGTGGCGGAGATTACTGTAGGTATAGGCCTCCGTACCCGGCTTAACATTTGTGTATTCTATATATATTTTTTAATGTATGAAAAGGATAAATATTGTCACTTTCACTCTGTAACCAAGATTCACCCTACTCACATTCGTCCATACAGGATTTGAACGGTGGCCCACCAAAAGGTAGAAGCCAGGTGCGATGGTGCGTACCTGTCATCTCGGTCACTCGGGAGGCTCAGGCAGGAGGAGCGCCAGTTTGAGGCCAGCCTCAGCAACTAACTGAGACCTTGTCTCAAAATTTTAAGATTAAAAAAAGAGGGGCGGGCTGGGGATGTGGCTCAAGTATGGCATGCATGAGGCACTGGGTTCGATCCTCAGCATCACATACAAATAAAATAAAGATATTGTGTCGACCTAAAGCTAAAAAAATAAATATATATTTTAACAAAGATTAACAAAAGAAGAAAGGATAGGTAGATGTTCTCACCCCCAGAACCTGTGAACGTGACCTTATTTGGAAAAAGGGTGTTTGCAGATGTAATGGGTTAAGGATCTTGAGGTGGGATCATCCTGGATTGACCGGGTGTGTCCTAAATCCCAGCTGAGCGTCTCCGTCCCAGGCAGAGGCGGGAAACACAGGCGGAGGAGCTGACCCAAAGTGGGTGGGCATGGCTGGGTGGGCTGGGGCAGCATGGCCCCGGGGCCCAGGGAGTCCAGATGCTCGCTCTCTGCCGGAGCGGGGGCGGGCACCTCTGGGCGAGGTCGGCCTTCTTGGTTCTGGTGCCTTCGATCCCACAGGGGACACTTCTCACTGCCCGCCCCCTCCCACTCTCAGGTCTGGGGACCCCGTTCACCTGCACCTCCGGCTTTCCTGATCCCCAGTTTGCAGGCAGCCCGTCTCGAGGCTTCTCGGCCCGTAACCGCGGGAGCCAAAGCCCCCATCTCTGTGTCCCCCAGGGCGCCGCATCTCCAGGTGCCGCCAACCTCGAGTTGAAAACACTGGGGTCAGGAACTGCCCTGTGCCGGGCCAGGAGGCTCCTGCCCATAGACCTAGTGACCAGGACGCTTCCAGCACGAGAGCTTCCAGGGCAGGCTCCAGATGGGGACCCTGGCAGCACCCTAGAGGTTCACACCACGGTGTAAAGGGACAGTGGGCCACAGGTCCGCGTGTCACAGTTTGGTCCCCAAGCTGCTATATCATTGGAGGCAGCGGAGTCTCCAGGTGCAGGGCTTAGCGGGGGTTCTTAGGCCACCGGGGGACACGCGCCTGGAGGGGCCTCTCTGTGCTCCCCGAGTCCCGGCGTGAGCTGTTCCGTGTGCCGTGTGCTCTGGGTGGGATGTCACCCTGGCCAGCGCCCCGCAGTGCAGCCACCAAGCCGGACCCAGTGGCACACACCTGTGACCCCAGCAACACAGGAGGCAGAGGAAGGAGGGTCACAAGGGTGAGGCCAGCCCGGGCAGGTCAGCGAGACCGTGTCTCAAAATGAAGTAAGAAGGGCCCAGGGTGCAGCTCCGTGGCAGTGGCCTGGCGCTCGCCTAGGAGGCCCGGGGTCCCACCCCCCTACCCCCACCCCCTGCTGTCAAGAGATAGAGGTGCTTCGGCCAACCGTAGGTGACTCACCATACTCTGTGTGAAGCCGTCACACCTTCCCGAGCCGTGACGAGGAGTCTGCGCCCTGTCTGCGCCCTCCCAGTGCAGACGCGGTCTCCTGCCCGAGATTTCTGCTGCTTGGTTGCTGAATCCCCAGAGGCCCACCAGGCTGCTCCGGAGACAGAATCCGGAACAGGACGGAGTCCCTGCCTCCCTCACTCCGACCACGAAGGCTGGCCTAATGATCACCCCGAAGCTCCATGCCAGCCCCCCGAGCCCTGCAGCAGGAAAGACTCCATCCTGGCCCCTGCCCCTCTCCGCTGGACCGAGTGGCCTCCCACCTCGTCCTCAACCCAACAGGTTCCACTTTCCCCAACCTGTGAAATTGTTTGAACATGTCGATGATCCCTTCCTGTAGGAACCAGATTCACCTTGGCCTTTGGTCAGTACAGACCCCACAGGCCCTGCTTACCCACTCTCCCAGGTGCACTCCTGTGGCTTCCTCATGGTGTGTGTGGGGGGAGGGTCCTCTGAGTACACGTGACTCATAAACTGATGTTGCACTAGTCCAGAGGTGCCCAGGCCTTCTGTGGCACGCAGGACTCAGACTGCTTCTACTTTGGGGCCCCCCGACATTC